GGCCGGGCCGTCGCCGGCCGCCCCTTTACTCGCCAGTCCGGGCCGTTGCGCTCACTGTCCCCTCGGGCCCTGCCTGGCGCCGTTCCCTCGTCTCCGGGAGCAGCCCCGGGCATTTCTAGCTCCTCCGCAGCGAGGGGGAGTCTTGTGCTGAGAGTGTCTTTTCGGCTTGTTTTTCGGTTTTCTTTTTATGTAGAGTAGTTAAACTATGGGCAGTAGAAGACCCTCTCAGTTTCTGAGAAAGAGGTAGAAAACAGGCTCGTCGACCCCAGTGCGTTTAAAAGACGCAGAGCCCAAACGTGATACACAGGAAGATTTTCATGCCCCGAGAGAACAGACAGATAGTTTTGGGATCGGAGAGCAGACAGGAAAGGGAAAGTAGTCTTTAATTTACTGTCCCATCTCCCACAGGGCCCAAGCAGGCAGGCCTGCAGGTGGTTCCCACAAGCAGCTTCCCTTCCCTTACTCCTCTCTTCCTCGCCTGGATAAGATCTGCACTGGGGCTGGAGGGAAGGGAGGGGAAGGAAAACAAAAAAGCTGCATATATTCTGAAGTGTCTTTTGGTATTTACTTGAAGTTCCTGCCATTGGAAAGCCCAACTTTATCCTCATGTGGAAAGAGCCTGTGCCCATGGTAGTGACCAGTCTGTCATGCGTGCCAGTGTGTTGCCTGCTCTCAGCTTCCCATGGCTTCTCCTGTTTGCACTAGCCATGTAACTTCTGCTGCACTTGCACAGAACATGTCCGATCTCCAACTTGACAATAAAAACAGATGTCAGAAACACTTTCTTTCCAGGTAGATGTTCCTCTCGCCACATATTCTGATAATCCCTGTACAGTAAGGGAACGATTCCAGAATAAGAGTCAGATGGACCGGAGAGTAAGAAAATGGTTACAAGACATCTGTTCCTTGCAAAGGCTATCTATATATCTGTGCATTTTTGTGGAGCTGCTGTCTTGTTGCTGAGGTGACTGAAATGACTGACAGCATTCTGGTACTCAAGGAAAATAGGTGGGACTCCTCAGCATCCAGGGCAGAGTAACTGTGATGAAAAGGCATAACATTTTACTCCCCTCAACATATACCTAGTCCATAAGTTCTCTTACTGTATGTGGGACCGCCACTGATATTACCAGGCGCTGCCTTAGTTGTGGCTGCTTGACCGTACCTTAATAAAAACAAGTGTAAAATACACAGTGAAAATATTTCAGGGATCCCAAAGAGCCATGGTGTGTGTCATGGAAATATTGTTCTCCTGGTGTTTTCATGATTATGTTTTGGTGTGTTATGTAGGCTGGTTTGCAAAACCTACAGAAGAAAAGACATCTGTGAGTCCTCACGAGGAGATGAAGGCAGCATTTATGGCTGAAATGAAAGCTGAAAACATCAAGCAGTTTCTTTAGTAAGTAATGTGTAGGCTTATCAATCATAAAAGAAAAAAAAAAGATTCAAAGCGGAACCAGCCCACTGACTGAGGATGGTATGCATATTCTGGGCCACAGTTTTTCTCTAATGTGTCCCTTCAGATTGGACCTTATGAAAGGATTTGAGTCAAAGAGGTTCAATGGAAAATAGTGCCTCAACATAAAAGAGAAGAAAATCATACCAGTGGTCCTAACTTTCAGTTCACCCTGCTGCTTAAACCTTCATTCCTTACTACTCTTTTCCCTTCACGCTTTATCATGCTGTGACCAAATTGCATATATTATCTGCCACCATTCTGACCTTGTACTCACTTTCATGAAGAAGATAGGTTATCAGGCCCTCTCGCTCTGCACAGTACATAGCTAGAACGGAAATGGTAGATACCAGGTGGTCAGCTAATGGTACACCAGACTGTTCACAATAAATCTAATATTCTTAAATTTTCAGGGTTTTTTCTAAGATCTTGATTTTTTTTCCAAATAATTTATTTATCTTACCTGCCCTTCAATACTTAAATTAGACAAGTGATTTTAAAAATGCTGTGTTTCTTTTATTAAACCCTAAAAGCAAAGCTGCTGACATTTGTTCCTGAAGATTCCATTGGTGGAAGACAGCCATATAGGTTTTTTAAAATCTATTACAGTCCTTAATTTCTGTAACTTAATTAGAAGCTTTAATTAAAAGAAAGCTGTTTTGCCATTAGTTGTTTATTTTAGGGACCTTATAAACAGATTGTTTGTCTACCAGGGGAGCGTACCATGTGTTAAAATGTAAATTCCACTCAGGATTAGGTCAGAAGTCATAGTTTATGGAAACAAATTAACTTTCTGTGTAAAAAAGTATCAGAGGATCAATGATTTTAGGAATAATCAACAGAGTCTGGCTTACATTTAATTCCTAGCCTGATTAAGTAGCTTGCAGTTGTATCTTGTTACAAAGCCTTACCAAAAAAAAAAGCGTTTAAAACTAATCCTACTAAAAAACATCTTCAGTTGATGGGATTGTGGCTATCCCACTCATTTCACTTTAAGTGCACTTACCATAAATTATTACGAGTAAATTAACTGGAAAGTACATTCCTTTTACTACGAAGAGCGTTGTGGAAAACTGAGGCCTTAGGACTTTTTACAGTCTTGACCTGTGTTATGATTCCTACCAAGTCAACTGTTGCTAAACAGCTCCGTAAAAGGACTGTTTTCTGCCATCCAAACTCCCTGTCTCATGTAATGCAGCCAATTTTGTGATGAAATACAGCAAATACTTAATACTCAGCAAATACTCAGAATAACCAGTACAAGCAGTCAACAGCTTAGAACAGGAAATGAGGAAGAATGCAATATTGAATTAAATGGGAATAAATACAGGAGGATATTATTGCTTAAATCAAATTTTAACCAAGACATGGGAGTTAAACGTTCTCAATTCTTACAGAAAACAACCATTGGCTCTTTAACACATAAGCATGCACTTGGTTCGATATATCAGCCAGAGGGTGGTACCTTCACTATAACAGAGATTTCTAGTACAGTGTTGATGCACGATGTTGACTTTCTCAGAGGAACATGGTTTTACCTAGCAGCATTCTGCTCAAAAGCACGAATGTATAGTGCTTACAAGTGCTTTGTTTGCTGCCTTTGTTCTCCCTGGAGGTCAAGAATTAATTTTTTTCCCAAACTTGTACTCCTTCTCCATCCAAGATCCACTTTTCCTCATTAACATTTCCTAGCTGGAGTGGCTCATGTTTCAATGTCATGTTGTTGATGACGTGGTCTTGTGACAGAATGAGGGCATGATGATGACATCTTCATTCAGCTTGGTGCTTCTTCAGCTTGCTTTACCATTGGACTTTCTCAATGGTCTGGGCAAATTTTTCCAGGCAGTGGGTTATTCGCTATTCATGGTACCTTTCACTGTTACTTGTAATATATGACTGAATGATTTTTAAGTCATAAGCAATTGGGGTTTCCTGTTCCCTGCTGATATGTCACTGTGAACTCGTTCTCTTTCATTTGCATACAAGATGCACTCAGAGGTAAATATACAAGACACACTTTTCAATAAATATTTGTGTCAAAATTAATTAAAATATTGGGCTCTGAGAAAAATATACAGTTAATTGCGTATAGAAGTCAGATTGATTCTGCACATTTTTAAATTGACTGCATAAAGATAATTTAAATTCAGTTATTTAATCACTTCACAAGGGAGATTGGTCTTATTATGCATAGAAATGATTGGCCATCGAGGCCAATGAGAAGAAAAAGGCGAGACCCCACAGGTAAGTCATTTCTGCTAAACTACGCTGCTAGGAAGATTACATTTGTGATAGTTCAGGACAAACTGAAACCCTTTACCTCAGCCTATATATAAGACAGACAAAAACAAAGATCCAGAGAGGACTGTGTCCTGCTTTAGTCTGTGTACATCTGCTTATCTCTAGGGCGTTTTCTAATGGGTTTATTTCTAACTAGGAGAACTCCTTCTAAGAGGAGTTCTGAATATATCTGCAATGCTTGATCCTGACTGACTTCTTTCTCCCTAGCAATTTTACACGGCTTCCACACTTAGCAGGAACAGAGGAGAATCTGCACCTGGCAAAGCAAATCCAAGCTGAGTGGAAGGAGTTTGGATTGGATTCTGTTCAGCTGGCTCACTATGATGTCTTACTCTCTTACCCTGATGAAACTAAGCCCAACTACATCTCAATAATTGATGAGCATGGAAACGAGGTAAAGAAAACCAATTTTCAACCAAGGAAAAAAATCGCCTTCCTATAATACCTTGGATGACTGTGAGGGAAAGGTATCATCTTCTCTGTTGATGGTGTTGGGTGTGATCCAAAACTCATGGAAATTAATGATTCCAGTTTACTTTTTTGTTTCTTTGTTTCTCCATCTGTGTGCTAGGTATACTAATAATTACCCTGATTCATACAGCATACTGGGATGTATGGATTGAAAGAGAATTATATAAGGGAATTATTTTAGGTAATTCAATTATTTTTAAAATACTATTTAGAAAGAGGAAGGCAACTGTAGTCAGTGTCGTTATTTGCGTTGAATCATTTGTATAGTACTGGTGATTGGGCTAAATTCAATTTCTAGAAGCATAGGCCTCCAGAAGTACTGAGACAAGCAAAATCGGTTCATTACGGTGCAGCTCTATTGCTTGTGGAAGCTCTAGGGATAAGCAGAATAAGACCTTTTTTTTACTGCTTTTATTTGCTGTACAGGGACCGCGTTAAGGGACCCGATGTTGTGTAAGTGGGATATGATGTGAAGAGTGGAGATGCGGTTTGCAAGATAACACCTTGCATCTGCATACTGAAAGTGATGCCCAGTGCTTGTAAAAGTTTTGGCCACTCTTCACTTACAGTCACAGAACTAGAATCCTTTAAACGACAAATGCCTAGGAAATGCACCTGAATATACAGTACTTCTTTCTCATATTGTCTGGTTTACTTTTTTGTTTCTTCTTTCATGCTAGATTTTCAACACATCGTTATCTGAGCCTCCTCCTCCAGGATATGAGGCTGTTAGAGATGTGGTGCCACCTTACAGTGCGTTTTCAGCCCAAGGAATGCCTGAGGTAAAAGAATAGAACTGAGAAATTTCTGGCTTTTAAGCTTTATTCATTCAAAACCTGACATCATAAGTAGGAAAGGTGTGCTAGCCTTGTGCTAGCCCTCGTGTTCGAGGGAATGGAGCAATGGAGCAGCTTTGTAATTGAGCAGTCATACCTATCTGTTTAAATTTTTTCTGTGATCTGAGTCGGAATGGGATTTTTTTGCCTTTTCCTTTGAAAAAGGAAAGAGGTTTTTGAAAGGAAGAATACCTAAAAGACAAATTGTCTTTTCAAAATATGATGCTTATGTTTTTGTTATTACATAATATTCTGACAAGAAGCTATAGGTGCTTAGTTGGGGCTGTTAACAATAGCGTTCTCCAGTGAGCAACTTTTGAAAGGAGTTGTGTGCATCTGTACTGCAAATAGCACAGGAGGGAACATATATTTAGCTCAGCAGGGAGACTACTCGATAGTATCTGGACTCCTGTGAGTTCTCTCAGGCCTGTTTATGCATTTTATATTAAAAGCTATTCCATTAAAAATATAACTAAGTTATGGAAAGAGAGATGTTGAACTTGATAAGTGCATTCATCAGTCTTATGTTCTGTCTCTGCTTAAGAA